TTGACATCGTTTCTATGTTCGATAAGAGTACAGTCCATGGAAAAATGTTGTTGACTTGTTTTTTAAAATAACATGGACAGTTTCGACGTCCATTTCCTTTGAAGTTTCTCGGAAAATCGCGGGCGAAATAGAGAAAAGCAAATAGACCTTATTCGCTATACCCGCCATCTTTGCACGCGCTTCAGGATTGATGGGATAAAAGCAATGTCACGTGGTATTTCAGGGGCAAACAAAAGATAATATTTGCCAATGCGACAAATCGCGGTCGACTTTGTTTATTCCCTCAAAACGAAACGACGATTTAATACTGACGCAAAATGTACGGTTTGAGTTTCGACAAAATTACCGTCATTATTGCTTGCTGTAAGGACCTCTACAGTCGCCACTGCATTTTATAAAGTAGCAATGATCACTTCCACCAATAATTTGCCATTTTTGTCTTTAAGATAAAAAGTTCTTCAATTTGAGTTGTCTAAAATAAACAAACACAACTGCGATTTCTTGTATTGGCAGATTTTATCACTTGTTTGTCCCCCGAGAAGCCACGTGACATCGTTTTTATCCCATCACTCCTTAAGCGCGTGCAAAGATGGCGGGCATTGTTCAAGGGCAAGGTTCATTGCGCCACCATGACTTCATTTCCATGAGTCTGTACTCTTATGACCATAGTACAGCTCTCGACCAATCAGCGCTCGGGAAATCGCTCAGAGGTCGCGAGGAACACCTTGGGCTGATGGCTGTGTATTTATTTATAATAAAATGTATGCAAGCAGCACAACGACTGATATCGACAGGTTTACGAGATTTCATAACTAGATAAGAGGCGAGCGCATAATTTAAATTGTTCACATGCACCTGTGGCATGCAGACTGCGAACAAAATGTTTATTCAAAAGTAACAAACGGGCCCTGAATCAAACTTTGTTTCCTTGATTCTTAATAATATGGAAATAGAATAAGGAAATCTTTAAAAATTTCAACCAAATTTAATACAAAAACTCTTTGAATGTCTTTTTTTTCCACCTCAAAAATCCTTGAAGACATTGCAGCTTATAAACAAAATCAAAGCGTGAAATGGATTAAACCATATGATTATAATTACATATTTTGCTTGTGACTCGAGCTTTAGTCGGGACACCTCCGGGAGTGTCAAAATTTGACTTTTCCGACAATTTTGTGTCCCAGAATTCAGCACAGATACAAAACTTCCGAGCAGGCGCTGCAGAGGGGTAAACTTGGTAGAAGTGCACTGCAAAGTGTTATTTATTGTGCGGAATTCTAAAAGAGCGCTTTCATAAAAAGATATAAGGCGTTAATTTCAGGGAGGACAGATTTTGCTCATTTAAACTATCGTTTCTTGATGGAAAATTGAGAAAACTGCTCAATATATGACACACTATAAGTTTGGTAAAACTATGGCTTAAAGCTATGAAGTAAAGCGCGATCTGCCAAATAAAAAAGAACCCTCCTAGACGTCCATCATTTCACAATGTGTCTGTAAACTGTTATCAAAATCGCCGCTATAATTAACGGCCGAGATATAAGCGTTTTAAAAGATTTAGCACAATTAAAATTTAGACTTATGAATTTACTCATAGGCAGGTCTCCTCCGCGGTCTTAAGTGTGATTCGAAGTGATATGTTATTGTTCTTTATCATCATTATTTTGTCAATTATTATTTTATTGACGTGATAATAGGAGAGAATACATTAGTTCAAGTAGCATCAGTTTGGAGAATGTTAAAGTTAATATTCTCCTATTTGACATGTTTGATGCTATTTGAACTATTCTCTCCTTTTCTCAGGTTAATAAAGCATAACTGACGAAAATAATAATTGATGTGTTCTTTCAGTAATCCAGGCTCTTTCTGTTTCATAAGCAGGAAATGATCCTTGCAGGGATGAAAATTATAAATATCTAAACAATGGCGATCGTAGCGTAACATTCACCTCGTCCAGTGATAACAAATGTGACAGAGACGACCTAGCAAATGAGTGGCATTACTGGTACAGAGTGTCAGGAAACGCTGGTAATGCTTTAGCAGCTGAAACAGCCCCAAATAACAACGCTTGTGGGACAAAGACGCAAGTTTATCTCTACGGAGGTCATCCTTTCCCAAGTGAGGGCAAAGTTACCAGAAAAGTTTGCCTTCGTACAGCAAATCATGTTTGCAAAAATGAAGGTTCCATCCAGGTTATTAACTCACCACGAAAAATGTACATGTTCGAACAGCTTAAATTTTCATCGACACCAAGTTGGCCTACCGCTATGACGTGGTTGCCCCATCTTCCACTTATTAGGAATAGAACTGTGATAATAATATCATTTAGTAAGGATCCTCCTGTCACAGCGAGATTAATTTAAGGAAATGAACCTGAATATGATATGAGGAATTGATGGAAGTCTAGAAGGTTGTTATCTACTGAAGCCGATGACTAAGGTGGATATTACAAGAATAAATAATTTTTTTATTAATCATTCAAAATACATCTATTCCCAGGCTTACTGATAACTGCTTATAAAACAGGGAAAGGCTGCCCGTAAAACAACTTTATTTTCAGAACAATTACACCGTAAGACGCATCGCAGCTGAGCGAAACCGCAACAAAAGCAAACGCAATACGTTTTTGGATTCGTTAAAGGCTTAAAATTGTCTGACGAAAGAGGTGTATTTTGGCAGTAAAAAAAATCCAGCTAGTTATATACATTACATAAAAAAACAATCACCCAACCAGTAAGAAACACTTCACTTATCAGTGGAAAAATAATAAGAAATAAATAAATGTTGTCTTAAGTGATTGTCTGCGACATTGTTTTAACGTACTTATAAACTTGTCTTTTTAGAAGAAAAATGTGCTAATGTCAATTGCCTCAACGGTCAGACATGTTACCTAACAGATAACGGCAACAGTTATGCTTGCGGGGATCCGAATGGTATGAAAAATGCGATACTTTTATCAGTACTTATATTTAACTCGCTCTTTACGGCGAAGTCAATTCTCTATATTTTTCTGCTTCATCAGATCCTTGCTTGTCTTCTCCTTGTCTGAATGGTGGCGCTTGTTTAAGTGGATCAGGTTCCTTTGTCTGCACCTGCCTAACAGGATTTACTGGAGAACGATGTGACACAAGCCCTTCACCATCGCCATCGCTATCACCTTCATCATCACCCTCACCATCACAATCACCATCATCGCCATCATCATCACCATTACCATCACCGAAATCACGGTCATCATCCCCATCACCATCACCACCATCATCACTATCTCCATCAACATTACCTTCATCATTACGATCACCACTGTCATCAGCTCCACTAACACCATCGTCGTCACCATCATCATCACCTTCTCTATCACCATTATCTTCATCTCCTGCCTCACTATCATCACCTTCACCATCGTCATCATCATTAGTAATACCACAACCAACATCACCTCCTCCGTCACCATCATTGCCCCTACCATCGCCATCATCATTAGTAACACCACCACCGTCATCACCTCCACCATCACCATCATCTTCACCTCCTTTGTCACCATCATCGCCTCCACCATCGCCATTATCATTAGTAACACCACCAGCAACATCACCTCCTCCGTCACCATCATCAGCAGTAATATCACCAGCGATATCCCTATCACCACCAACATCAACAACATCATTACCTTCAGCATTTCCATCATCACCATCATCATCACTTCCACCATTACCATCACCGTTATCATCAACATCATCAACACCACTATTATTGCTATTATCCTCACCATCACATACACAATCAACAAATTCAACTTCATCATCACCCATATTGTCGCCTTCTTCCCTTATTTTTTCAAGCAGTTCTCAAGGTAAAATCAATAACTTTGTTCACTTTCAGTTTCAAATTTTACGGTTTCACAGTAAATATTCAACTTTTTTTTTTTCACTTTCTAATTTATTCATTATTTTGTTTTGCAAAATTTACCCGTCTTTTACTACTTTTTAAACATAAACGTTATATCTCTAATCCACTTTGTGGTTTTTTGATGACCCACCATTCCTAAACGACTAAGAAAATTTATTAAGTCGACTCGATATTACTTTTTTGTTTTCGTCTTCAGCCAACTCTACAGAAAGAACAATTAAAGTTACCCTATTAACACAAGGTTTTAGTATTAGAGGACTTCAGTAATATTATTGGAAAAGGTCGACGACTTCGAGGACAAGAATACGCCTTTTGCAATAATTGGTCTCGTGATCAACTTTCTGACAATACGAAAACAATTCGCTTTTAGAAAATTATGTTAGCAGGAACTGAAAGAGCATAGTAAACATTGGCAACCTGTAACCTTTTAGCCGTATATCTCAAAAATAGCGATTGCAACGGCCGCCGAAAATTAGGAGGATGTATCAGAATAATAACTATTGCCACCCAGTCGTGGTTGACAGCTGGTTTTCCATTGATACAATTCCTTTAACATTTTGAATTTTTTAAGTGTCGTTTAATCTTACCATTAAACACGGTGGGCATATAGGACGCCTAAAAGTGCATCCTAGAACTATTTTTGCACTTTTTATTCGTTTGAGCTCAAACTTTGCAGAATGGTAGAACTTTGTTTTCCAAAGAATCGTACTTTTTGGTTTTCGATTTTAACGTGTTTTGGCGGGAAAAAGACGTCAAAAGATTGGCAGCAAAATTATAATTTCAAGATATGGCAAACAAATAAATAATTTTTAAAAAGCATGACGCGATAGAATAAAATGTAAAACAACAATTGAAAAGCTCAATTGGTTAAAGAGTTATTAAGATCTGATTTTTGAATTTCCCGCCATTCTGTTACTATCTTTCGAAACATAAATGCATTTCAAGATGCTATATCTCCTAGAGCAATTGAGCTTCTCCAATATTTTTTTTCACATTTGTTGTAATGTTTTGTTTAATCATATCATCACTCAATTTTGTCAAAGTTGTTTCCAGTAAAAGAACAAGTACACTTATGTACTCTTTCCGTTTGTTGCTTCTCAATTTTCACGTCATTTTGCTTACACACAGCAACGCAAGCATCGTGCTTCAGCAATGCCATTGGCATTGCGAATAAATTTGCCGTTTCTTATAACATGATGACTGCTTCTACAAAGAAAACGGACTACTCAGCGAAACATGGCCGACTTAATGGCAGGAGAGCTTGGTGCGCTCAAAGTGCCAGGGGTACCCAGGAGTGGCTTAAGATTGAACTTGAAAAGTCAACTGAAATATGTGGTGTTGCGACTCAAGGAAGAGAGGATACCGATGAATACGTTATATCCTTTAAACTGTATTATTCTTTGGATGGTGATGGCTGGACTGCTTATAAGAATTCAAATGGCTATGATGAGGTTAATCTATACTTTTTAGCTTAGAAGGACGTTGTAACCCCGGTCTAAGGAGTAGCGTTGTGATCAAGAATATTTTGGCGGGATTTCTGTAACCCGGTACTATAAATTTTAACCCTTACATTCAAGATGTAAACGCGTTCAAGAAAGCGGGGACAATTCTTTGCACTGCAAAACGGTCGTTTTTTTTTTTTTTTTCTCAAAACCGGTTTAGCGTAGCGTAAGAATAGCGTGTGAGGGGAAAGAAAGAAAAACGGACTGTCGGTTTTTCATACAATGAGTTCGTTCTGACCAGGGGGCTCAAAAATGTCTTCCAGCTGTCAAAAATCTGTTCAAAACGCCACCCTCTTTGTAAATTTGATAGACCCGGTGATCGATTTCGCGATAGAATAGTGCGTGTTAGTGTCTGCGCGTGCCCTAGAATCTTGTGGTACACGCTATCCAGTAATTCCAAAGCCAGCAGTCTTGAGCGTTGTTTCCTAGTGCAATGTAGTTTTTTTCTTGAAGTTCAAAAATGAGTGGAAGTGGCAGTACGCCGACAGAGCCTGTGCCTGCTCCTCGAAGAGGGGGAAAGCCGAGCTGAGGACTTCAGATAATATTAGAATGTGCGCTGTTGTTTCAAAACACAGTTCGGCAATTTTAAGATTGGATGGATAGACTCTGCAAATATGTTTGTTGCCCCTGCTAGAAAAGATGAACGTTACCAAAGTTGGCCGACCTTCTGCAAAAAGAACTTCTCGTTGTCCTTGGTGAACGAGAATCTTTCTCTACAAGAGTTTGCTCGCCGAGCGGAACAAAGGTTATAAACTGCCCTGCGAACACGCCAACGGGATAGAATTCATCACAGTAGAGAACATTGCGAATGACTTATTGGAAACATAACTTGACAGCTTGCAAACGGCTTGGATCAAAATTTAGCCAGTAGGAATTGCCGTGGCTGGGAGATGCGGGTAATTCGAACGAATATAACGTATGCAAAGCGGACATTCCATAATTTTTGCGTCTCTCCTCAGTCTCGCTCTCTGCTTTCAGCTTCGCTCCAGACCTTTTGTTTGATTGTTCGCGCGTATTTGAGTACGCAAAAATACGGACTGTTTTGCAGTCTAAATTTATTTGATAATTATTACCCTGGTCAAAATTTTGATTAAACGGCGAGTTTAAATTCAATAATATGTAATTAAATAACCTTATTTACTCGGTTACGCGCCCCTCAGGGCGTTTATTGAACTATTTGGCCGCGAAAGTGAGCGCTTATTCGAGGCTGAGCAATTTGACTGTTTTCAATAAATAGTAAATTTGCATGTGATCTGTGTGATGTGGATTATGTTGGCTACACAGCCCGACGCCTTCATCAACGCATTGCTGAATACGGATATTCTGTTGTCGGTAAATATTTTTTTAGAAGCTCACGGTGACAAAAATCTTTTGAAAGAGGGTCAATTTGGCGTTCTTGAGAAGTGGAAATTTGACTGCCTCGTATACGAAATGTTATTATTCATCACAGAGCTTAACCCTAGCCTTAATACTCAGAGTGACTCCATTAGCGCTAAACTCTTGGTTTAACTTTTCACATATTTTTATATGTTACTCTATAATTGATCTATTGTTTTCTCTTGTATGTATAGAACTTTCATAAGGTATTTTTTTTACTTGATAACGACGTTCGAGAACGTCGAAACGTCGTATTCTTAAAATGTTTTAAGAAAAGTATTTGCGTAATTTTTCATAGCTAAATGTTTTAAAAAGTCGCTTCTTTTTAATTTGGTAAATTGATCTAGCAAAAAAGATAAATTAATGAATAATAATAATAAAAAAGAAAAATATTAAACCAAAACTAGAAGATGAACCCAAGCATAATTTGAAATGTTTACCCATACTCCTGTTTTGCAGCTCTGTTTTTTGGTGTTCGGTGTGAGTGTGTGAGCGTGGGGGATGGGGGCGTGTTAGGAATGGGTGCTTATACGTGGGTGGAAAGTGTGGATTTGTCTTTAACCATTGAAAATCGCTTTACTTTTATAAAGTTCATTCCTGTTATTATAAATGTAATTTTATAAATAGAGGACTCAATTACCTAAAAGGCTATAAGGTTTCCTTTATACCGCCATATCCTTTTTTCTAATAAGTACTTAGAATCTGTAGCTTTCTTGTGTGACCAAATAAATGAATAAGTACATAAATATACCAATAAGTTGAAAGGGTCCTAATGTTAAGCGTGGTTTCCTGAAATGTATTGATATTTCAAGGAATTTTCCCATGATCATTTTATTTTAATTTGTCTTGAAAGGTTTTCACTAGATTTGGAAACAGCAGCATCACTGACTACCATCAGCTACCTGTTCCAGTGTCTCCAAAATTCATTGTATTTCATCCAACAAGTCAGCATATCTGGAACTGTTTACGAGTGGAGATATACAGCACTAATAGCACTGCTGGTAAGAATATTTTTTTAAAAAAACAATTAGTATGTACTCACTCAGTGATCATGATGTTTTAAGCAATCTGATTAGTTATTATTTGAATTCTGGGTGAGTAGTTGCCGAAAATTCCTAAGGCCACTGTTCATCGAGATTGAAAAGAACAATCGTTCTATTGCATAAAGATGAATTGATCTCAACGGAATCAGATAGAAAACCATTAAACCATGCGCAAAATAAGATCTGTAGAATTTTTTAAGCAAGGTTAACCTTTGCACGCACAAGGGGGGAGGGGTAGCTGCCACATCCCCTCTGAGTTTTTTCTGAGTTTTTCTTCCTAGGCGATAAAACATCACTACCTGAAATTTCCATTAGCTGTCGGCTTATCCCTTGCACGCAGTTTGAGACACGTTTAGTGATGGTTACGAGATATGACGTCATAATTACCAGGCGGTCAACCCATATCTGAGTGAAAATGCATGTTTTCTCAACTTTTTCAACAATAAAAGTAGAGAATGTGGATAAAATGATGCAAAGTGCGTATTTATGTGCTATTTTATATGTAAGGCACAAACAAAAAAATTCTTGCGGTTTAAATTTGTTTTTTAATCCTTGGTAAAATCCAAGATGGCTGCCAAGATGGCCACCATCGCTGGTAACGTCATAGGTCTCCAGTAGCTCCACCACCCATAAAATATACCTAATCTTTTTGAGAAGATCAAAGACTTTCAACTGAAGGCAAAATCATTTCGAAATAATGCAGCCTATCCAAAACTCAAGGGAGGGGTTCCATTAATCCCCGCCCCCTTGAACTACGGTGAGGGTAAGAATTTAAGTGTACATCGGAGGATTAGTCATAGTTTCAATCCTTTTGTAAGCCGACTATAGTGTCAACAGTTTAAAACGAGTTGTTAAATGTTTTAAATGATATTTATCTGCAAAAAAGAAATGAAGAACGTCAACTCGCTTACTCAGTGAAATGTTTGTCATTGTGTCGCTCCTCGAAAGTGCAGACAGTGTCGGCAGCAATCGAGGTGACCTTTGTTTTTCTTGTATCAATCTTTGCCCTGTTTATTTGTTGCCATGAATAATTTTGATTTGCTTTCACCTCTTTCTTTGATAAACGTCAATTTTTGGTGGAGTTATCCGTCAACTTGTAATACTTGGAAGTAGGTTTGAGATTGTGTGTATATTTACTGCTTTAAATTACTAGAATTAATAACAGCCTACCATGATCAACCATAATATTAAGCAACTTCCACGGTAAGCCTAAATGTTACGGCGTTTTAAAAGACAGCTTAATTTGATCGATCTTGATATCTTTGTGATGAACTTAAAGTCTTTTCTTCTTTCACCAAACATAGTTGTCCAGCTCTTGTCAACCGTTTTACTTGGTTCATCTCCAACGAATCAGCCAGAACAATTCCTGCAAGCATCGATATTTCGAACAACTTTGTCCTATCTTTTGGTACCGACTCCAACTTCACTTTCACTACCACAAACACAACTTCAACCCGAAGCTACTTCGAGTATGGTGCAGCATTCAGTTTCAATGTTATCATCTCATCGTCAAAACAGAGCATCCTCATTTTCGGCTCAGGCACTGTCACCGATGCTATCGTCATACAATCAGAATGCTACACTGTCCCTTCCTAATCAGCTATTCCAATCATCTCACAACTTAACTCCACCCCTAACAAAATCGCAGGCCGCATTATCTCCATGGGAACCATTAATAACGTCACAGTCGTCACTGCCATTACCTACTTCACTACTTCAGCAGACCTCATCTGTTGCTCCACCAGGTAACTGTCTGTTCCATCACCCATCTAACAACCCCCCCTAACCACACCCATCCATCCATTCATCCATCCATCCATCCATTCAACCATCCATCCATCCATCCAACCATCAGACCATCCATCCAACCATCCATCCATCCATCCATCCATCCATCTACCCAACCACCCATCTATCCAATAACCATCCATCCATCCATCCATCCATCCATCCATCGACACCTCCATCCACACATCATCCACACATCCACTCTTCTCCTCCCTCCCCACTCCCCCCACCCGCACCCAAAGTCGGAATTCTTTTGTTCTTCAAACAAGATATCCCTCGATCCGTTTTTAATGAATACTTGCGCTTGTTCCCCGAAAGTCCATTGGGAGGCCCAGTTTACTCAAAGGATATCCACTTCTTACTCACCTACTGGCAAGAAGTATTGTTGAAGTATTCTTAAAGTGTTCTGACTCTTGTTATAGTTCACGGTAACTGGGGCAGTTGGTCTTCATGGCCAAACTGTAACAAGCCTTGCAATGGGGGATCCAAGACAAGAAAACGACTGTGTAACAATCCTGAGCCAGCTAATGGTGGGAGAGTCTGTGAGGGTTCAGCATCGGAGAGCCAGTCTTGCAATCCTAATCCTTGTCCAGGTCTGTTAAGTTCAATTCTATGTTGTTTCCGAATCGCTTATTAATCGGACACCGACTTTTCACTTGCAAGTGTCCGCTTAATTATCTTAACCGAGTTTTGGAATCCCAGGAAGAAGCGGTTCAGAGGCCCTCTCCATTAACTATAAAACTGCCTATGATATGCCCACCGAATTTACACTGAAAGTCACTATACATTTTGAACATCATTTCTAAAAAAAGATTTGACTTTTATGACCTGAGTTGACAAGGAAGATTTTCTTCCGTAGAGGCATTGAGAAGCTCACATTTTAAGCGCTAACCCCACTGCTTCGTCAAAGCTAATCAGAGTATAGTGCCTTTCGAGCTGGTTCGATGCTCTTTGTTGATCTATTTGTATAGCGCGGTGTGTGGTAACAGAGTCGAGATAGCCACATTAAAATGGGCACATTTCCTCTGACCTCTAGGGAATATTTAGCTCGTCACTAGAGAGTCGTCAAAGTCTAAGAAATAAATTAATTGGAAATCGAGTTTTCAATTGTGTTGGATAACCAGCCTCAGACTTTCAGATAGTTGAGATTGTGGCGCGAAATGGAAAGCGAAGAATTCAGGTATTCTGAGGGCGAAATAAAGTCAACCGCCGCCTTGCGGACACCCCGCTCTAACGGACACCCTGATAATACTGATAAATCCCTGGCAAAAACAAACATATTACAGATGTTTGACTCAAATAAACTCTCGCAATTATGGACTCTCGCTAATGAGGATACTAACTCTCCCTCCCCAGGGAAAAGAGTCCTATGCTAGTAGGAAAGTCTCATGAAATAACGTTCAAGCTAAGTCACTTAAAACTTAGTGTACAACGTCTCCGTTATACTCTGTTGGATTAAACAATTGCCTTTTACACTAACAACGAGGTGTTTTATTTCCAGCTGATAATATAAACTGCAAGATAAGGTTTCCAACGAAAGAATGGAAAGAAACAATGGCCAATCACAGCAGCATAAGCTACGTGGAATGTGCTAATGAGACTGAAGGAATGGTAAATGTTGTAATCAAAAATTGTTTGTCACAGGAAAGACTCTGGTGCAAGCTTTTTTAACGATGCTTAAACAATATTAATGTATTAATGTAATATTTATGATTTTTCTTCCTCTTTCAATTAAGTCCCAGCCCGCTGGGAAAGATACCCCCTTTCACGCCATCGACAGGCTAAGTTTGTTTTTCATAGTCAAGATTTCAACCACCCCCTCCCTTTCCCCGACAGGAATCACTGGACTGGGAAATGCTATTACAGGTGCTTATGACAATTACTTTTGGAACTATTCAGACTGGGGGATGGTTCCAGAACAGGGTTTCAGATCGTTCTTTGATAATAAATAAAGTCATCGTGACATCACTGCTAATATTTATTTAACAATTATTCCACGAGTGCGCGTTGGGCATGAGATGGTGGTTATCATCTCATATCCAACAAGCACGAGTGGAATAATTGTTTCATAACGCCCACTAAATCTCGATGAACAAACCGGAAAAGACAAGGCACTTCCGCTTTTCACGTGTCACACGTCAGTCAAAACTGTCAACGAGGGAACGGACTGGATGAATGAAAAATCAAAACATTATAGCAGAGTTAGTATAGCAATGAACACTTTTAAAAACTCATCGGATTCTAGGATTTAACACAGCAGGACGGCTAAAAAACTCGCAGATAATGAGAACAAAAAGAATTGTGACTTTTAGTACAGTTACAAAAGTAAGAACAATGGAGGAAAACTATTTCCTCGGTCGCCATTCAGAAACTCATGCAACGGTTATGAAGTTGCTTGAAGCCGCCAGATGGTTTTGCTGAATGAGAGAAACTATACTGACGCCCGGATTGCTGTAGTGAATGGCTGCAGGGCCTGTATTTGTAGCTAGTTGCTTGTGATTTATATCCTTTATGTCGGATGAACAGGCTACAGTTTCTATCGGTATGTGGCCTTGCGAACATGAAGAAATAATTCTTGTCTTCTTTCGTAGCTGGTCGAGGGTATTTTAGTTTCATGTCTTTTCATGTGTTTTTCGATAAACTTTCCAGCAAACTCTTGTGGCTTTTTAGTGTGCTTGTTTTTTCCCGATGAAATTGCATTTTCTAGTATTCTAAGAATTAAAATGATTTTCTTCGCGCCCAATTCTATCCTTCGCGAAAACAAAACTTAGCTAGCTTCCAACTGACGTGTACACTGACCATATACAGAAAGCATGGTATAACGGCTCATATACGATGATTGCTAAGCCAATAAAAACGCAAGAATTGCATCATCCAATGATTCAGTTTTTAATAATTATGATTATTTATGTGTTAGCCAACTTCTTGATTTTGTCAGCCGCCTTACGATTCAAGTATTTTTCGCTTTGAAGAGGAAAATTTCATGGAATTTGCCTTCTTGTCTAAGGTCATAATTACGTCAAGATACGTTTATCTGTCAATTAAGTTATGCCTAGATGTTGGAAATGATGATTACATTACTCTAAGGGTAATTTTGGCTGCCTTATCAAGAGCGATTTTGAAGTTAGAGCACAGAGTCACAGGAAGCAAAAGAAAGCTCGGTCTGAAATGGTTTATTGTTTAATTCATATTTCTCTCTTTTTTTGTCAGTTAAGAGAGTTTTACTACACTAAACGAGAAAATGTCATGGGTGTTAAAGTATTGAATCTGAGGTAAATATTTGTAAAGGTACCCTCCACATGTATGAAATTTTAAACAAAATGATCAGTCCTTTCAGTCCGATTTCTAAGGTCTTCTTGGCTATGCAAAATTCCCTGCTAGGGATATTTTTAGTTTAGTCGATCCACATATATCCACGTTTATTGTTAAAACAGTGTTTTTTTTTCCTTTCAAATCGGTCGGAAAAAATTTGGGTGCTTAAAATTTACGCAACCCACTCAGGTGGAATCTTGTGCATAAATTTAACCCTCGGACGTACACGCAAATTCAAACCCCCACCGTGGTACAAGGGGAGAGGGGGTGGGGGTGGATGGAGCCCCTCCCAGGAGTTTTTTGATATGTTGTAGTATTTCAAAACGAGTTTACCTTTATTGGAAAGCATTTGATCTTCTTAACAAGATGAGGTATATTATATGGTTGATGGCGCTGATGGACGCCTGTGACGTCACCAACAATGGTCGCCATCTTGGATTTTACCAAGAATTAGAAATCAGGTTAAAACCGCGAGAAATACATGTAGTAGTTTTTGTGCTTTACATAAAAAATGACACACAAATAAGCACTTTGCATGATTTTAGCCTCAACATTTACTTTTATTGTTGAAAGAAGTTAAAAAAACATGTATTTTCACCCAACCTCGTCCCCAGAGCGCTTTTCCCAAAGCCAGGGAAAAGAGCCATGAGAACGAGATTGTTTTTTACCCAAAAATGGCTTGGCCTCCTGCTACTTATGACTTCAAATCTCGTAACCACAGCAACTGACCATCACTGAACTTGTCTCAAAATGTGCGCGAGGGATGAACGAACAGCTACTGAAAACGTCAGGTGGTGATGGTGATGTTTTATCCTGTACGAAAAACTAAAAAAAAAAAAAAAAACTTAAAGGAGGGGGGGGGGGGGCATCCATTCCCCTTTTACGCCCGAGGGTTAAAATGAAAAAATTTGGGAAAAAAAACTGCATCCCCTCAAATCGCACCCACATAATCAAAAAATCCCCTAACAAAAAGGATCAAACAGTTTGATTTTCCAACCTTAATAACCCTTTGATGGTGTTTCCCTTACAACTTTGTCTTTAAGGCCCCAAATTTTTCCTTTTAAGCACTTT